TGAAAATAATGTGTTACATGGGGGAGGGGGGGCTGAGAAGAAAAGCAATTCTAGCTGGTTGATTCTTTTTTAAAAAAATATTGACTAGTAAGGATAAGACAGCAGACAACTAGAAACCTAAAGCAACGTGGAATCACTAGTCTGGGTGGAATACTGTGTGGAATACTACTTCACAGTATAAACCATGTGTTTCAAGACACCTCTCTACAGAACAGGTCCATGTATCAGAAAAAAAGCAACAAAAATACCCACATCACCACTATGTCCAGTACAAATGTCATTACAAGACTAAGAATCTAAAGCTGTCAGGACATTTCAGTTAAACTTAACCTGGTTAAAGCCCTCCCTAAATTCAGTTCTTTCTCTAGAATAACAGTGTGATTGTTTGTTTTTGAGTAAATATAGATTAGAGACTAAATCACATTTTCCATGACATAGCAAGGTAGCTAACTACCAAGGTGTATGGAAACAGAAAGTGGGCTCTAAGACCTACAGAATTATTTTCTTTCAAGAATGCTGCTGCATCTTCTTCAGCATTTCCTCCAATTTCTCCAATCAATATGATCCCCTCAGTATGAGGATCCTTCAGGAAGACATCAAGGCAGTCAATAAAATTAGTTCCATTGAAGGGATCTCCTCCAATACCTGAAAAAAATCCACAAAAATGATAAATCAAATTAGTGATATTCCATTTATGTTAAGGCTGTCAACACATATTTCAGCATGCAGGATACTCTTGAAGACCAGTAAGAGAGAAATCTCTGAATGCTCCTCCCCAAGTACAGAGAGTGCAAGTTCCTGCTCCAGACATGTCCCCCATAATTTACAGAAGGCCAAAGCCTTCATCAAAGCTTAATGTTTGCAAGATCCCACCTCTCAGACAATAAGTTGTTAGACCTTTTATGGAGCTTCTCAGAAGAGCCGAGGCCTCAGCCCTACAAATTTCCTGCTAGAAATTTAATGTGAATGAGCCATCTTGCTTAACATACTCAGCTCAGTCAGAAAGAATAGCATATCCCTTCACAGGATATTAGACTTCTTAGAACAACTGTTTTTCCCCATACCAACTTCATGTTTGTTGGCAATGTTCCATCAAACTCTTTTTCCCTAAGCTTTTTATTAATTTGACATGGAAAGAGTAACAGAAAGCTTACATTCTTCAGGCTATATTCTTCACAGCACGTAGGCATCTCAGGTTTTAACAGATCAAGAAGCCACTCAGCAATTTCTAGACTTTTAAGGAGGAATTACTTTGGATTTCTTTTAAACAAAAGGCAGATCAGTCCAGATATAACAGGCTGCTTCTACAGAAACCTACCGACACAGAAAGACTGCCCTAATCCAACTTGCGTTGTCTGATGAACAGCTTCGTATGTCAGGGTGCCAGATCTTGACACGATACCTTTAAGGAAGAAAGAAAGAATAATTTGACACTAATACGGCTAAGTGCATGACTAGAAATGGCTGCTCTTATACTCAGGAAAAAATGCCTTACTAAGCTAAACACGAGCTGCCAGGTTTTCCAGGTATCCTTGTAAAAAAAGGTGAGAATTCTACATGAGATCTGTACTATTTTGGGGCTGGAATTCTTGACATTCAACTTTCAGTTGTTTACAGCTGCCCAGCAAGCTAGTGATGCTGGCTGAGATGGCATTTCTCACATTATAGCTGTACCATAGAGACTACTGAAAACAAAAACTGCTGGAAGAACATACTTCTCATCTTGTATACAAGTAGCTGATACATTGTACTTGAAACATGGCAGCAGCTCAACATTTGCAAGAATTCTGTATTAATCACATCTGCAGTATGGCTGGGCACATGAGAGATATCCCAAAATGGAAAGAAACTGCATAGACATGAGTAATCTTATTTGTTGCTGCTGCCCATTGCTCTATGATCAATATTTAAAGTTTACCTTATACACTATTATCAGAGGCTACAACCTTTACCAGTCACTGTACTAGATTTCATACAAAGTAAATGATGCATTGAATAGTTTTAAATTAAGGAAAGAAAGCAACAGAGAGGCAGTGGTGGGAAGGGGCATTGATATGTGTTTTCTCAAGTTAGGCTTTCTATCACTATTACTGGAAGGCAGTTTCTTAGAAAAAGGATATTTCCACATTTACCTGTTACCTTGCATGTTAGATGGATTGAAACTAATGCATTATATGAACAAAGGAAAAAAAAAAAACAACAACAACAAAAAATACACATCATATTGCCTGACAGTAGCTACAGATGTAGTCCAAAGACCACGCGTCTCACGATTACCAGATGATGTTTGGATGCCCCAGAATAACGGAAAGCTGGAGAGCATTTCACCAAAGGTCATGGCCTGAAAGGAAGCCGGAAGGATGCTAAAGTTCATATTTTCACTTTGGGATTCTTGGACCACCACCAAAAATGTTTCTAGCAGTAGTGGAGCAAGCAGACTCAGGATTTAAGATCTCTCCTGCACTTGATGTGCCTTGCATTTGGGTTCTAGTATGTTGCAATTAGAAAACATTTCTTTTAGACATTTCCAAAGTAGTTTTAACAGAATTTTGATTCAGAAGGGAGCTCAAGGTAACACCAGCTGATGCTGTCTTTTATAGTCATAGAGCACTGGCTTGGTGGTATCTACAAAGGACCTAATTGCAGTCGTCTTTGACTTTTCAGTTTCAGGTTTACAGGTTCTTTTGAAAGCTGTAGTGTGACCCGAGTGCTAACGTGCAGTCTAGCAGGCAGCAGCTACAGCTTAATCTCCAGTCAGAAGTAGCCAAGTAGCAAAAACAGTTTCTCTTGTTAGGAAAACTGCACTGAACTCCCTAAGTTCTAGTGCACTGACCAGCTTTCTCCACAGCAAATTCACTTTGCAACCTTACCATTCTTTTCTGTTCAAGAGTATTGTGTTTAAGTTAAACCAGGTATGCTGTTGAGAGATACCGGCAGAGAGCCTTGTCCACAGCAATATTTCTGAAGTGCTATTTATTAAATCACATTTAGGAATAATTTTCTTTAGTTTCCATACTGCATTATTTTAAAAATAATGAAGTTGTTCTTCCTATGGTTTAGAACAAGCAACCAAAGAAGTCAGGACTCCAGGCTTACATGCAGTAGGGTGTGCAGTTAACATCTGATGACGGACCCATCGCTGCCTTTCTGATCCAATTATCCGTCTACAAGAATGCTCAAACAAGGGCATCAAGGAAACCACATCCACTACATCACCTAAGGGATCCTTCCCAATACATGTGGCTTCTACCATTAACATTCAGTGCCTGCTACAGCAGACAGACAGACTTTGGCCTTCAGGATTGATAGTGGCTAAATTCACTTACAAACTGAAGGACAGATAAGCTGTTACAAGGTATATTACCTATCTTCAGGGTAGAATGTGACTAGACTGCTGAATAAGAACAATAGGGTACAAAATTTGAGTTTTAGATGATGCATAAGTATTCAGAAACTCACCAATCCTTCCTTTCTTGTGAATGTGACCCGGCATGATACCAATTTTACATTCTCCAGGCTAAAGAAAGAGCAGGAGAAGTCAGATGGAGCATTGAAACCATCACTAAGAATGGTTCGGCCTTGGCACAAATCCAGAAGTCACTTACATTGATGACTCCAGGGCAATTTGGGCCAACTAGTCGAGTCTTATCCTGACGAAGCAGCCTATGTTTAACGCGAACCATGTCCTGCTGGGGGATTCCTTCAGTAATGCATACGACCAGCGGCATCTCTGCATCGATTGCTTCGTTGATCGCGGCAGCGGCAAACGGAGGGGGCACATATATAACACTGGCAGAAGCACCAGTTTGTTCCTTGGCCTAAAACAGGCAATAACAAAGAGGTATCAAGCACTTAGTGGGCCCAAAGAGAACATGTGACAAGTAGCACCCAAATACGCCCGCCGTAGCCATAAACTAAATAAACTGATACATGGTCACTTACTTACGGACAAAGGAAATGTGAAGTCTTTAAAGACGGACACACAGAGCGCAACTAGGAAACTGAGGACATAACCACTCTCTAGAAGGGATTCCCTCCCAAACCATCCTTATATAATAATTTGCTAAAAGTTCATCATACACACAGGAATCTATCAGAAACTAGCTGCATACAAAACATAAGGCTATTGGGGGGTAAAATCATTTGTCTTACTAAGTACCCAGACTCTGCAGACTACAAAGCAGCAGCTAAACTTCTTTACATGCCTCATACATTACTACAGTAAATGTTCACTGTATTACAGAGCCTCCATTCTATTTCTTACATAGCGATATTCATATTTCAAATATGTTTTTTCTCAAGTGCAAGTAGGGAAGAGAGTCCTGTAACATTAGTTCTTGGAATAAACTGTGTCAGCCCCTCTACTCATCTCTAGTCATTGCTGCAAATTACCTCCTTCACAGAGTTAAAGACAGGCAGACCCAGATGAGTTTTGCCCCCTTTTCCTGGAGAAATTCCTCCAACTAGATTTGTGCCATAGTCCAGTGCCTGCTGGCTGTGAAAGGTGCCCTACAAGAGAAGATAGGGAGAAAAGTCAAAAGGCTCACAACAGCCAATAAAGCATATCAAAAGTCTGATCACATCTATAACTCTGAAGGCAATTTATAGCACTTAAATTTACAACGAAAGACATGATTTGACTGTAGATATATAATCAGCTTTTTTGCAGAGTGCATCAACAAGTTTTAAACGGATTCAGAATGTGCTATGCCTTTTTCTTTTAAATAAGAGTACTCTGGCTGCACACTAAACCATGGCAGTCTGTTCTGTGTTGCTAGCACACCTCCAGACATACAGGCACTTCATTTTCCACATCAGTTCTGGCAGATAACAAACATGATAACGAAGCAGAAGAAATTAGCATTCTTTTCCACGACTGGTTGATACTTACAGCAAGAGCAGTGTTATCTCCATGCAAATGAGTAAATGAGTGTGAGAATAATTAAACGTACTGAAATAAAAACAGAAATTAAAAATCTAGATTTTTGTCAAAGGGAATGGGCAACAGCAACATGTGCTTCCAGCGATAACAGCACTTCAGTGAACAAAACACTAAATAAGCTAAAAAGTCTGTTTACAGAACATGAACTTTACTAATAAATGGGGGGGATGCCAAATTGCAGAAAATTAAAAATGTAAAGAATATCGAATTGCAAGTGGCCACCTCTTATTTACAGGTGAAAACTCAAATTAATATTTACATCACTGAGCAAAACAAAAATACATTAACAAAATACGAACGCTAACCAACAACACCAGTCAAGCACACAGGCCTGAAAGGCAGCATCGCCCCCCTGCTTCAGTAACAAAGGGCTTTCATTGCCTTTTTATTGAGGCATTTGTGAAAAGGATACATATAAAATTGAAAGGTTTTTTGTAGTTTAAAATAAAAATAATTTCAAAAACTACACATCCACACATCTTTTACAAATAAATGCTTTAGTCATATACCATAAATAGGCTAAAGACAAAAACAACAACAAAAAAACCCCACTAATCTAATGGAGACGACACAGAAACACGTTTTCAGCTTGAGCACATACCTGTTTGCCTGTAAAACCCTGACAGACAACCTTTGTGCTTTTGTTAATATAAAGATTTTTCCTCGACGACGAGTAGGAGCAGTGTCGCACTCCACTCTGCTGCACTACAGGAAGAGAGACCAAACCGTTAGAGGCATTAATCAATAAAATTATAAAATGCGTTATGAAATAAGCACACCCATATTCAGGCTTGCACTGATGCAGAGTTCTATATTTTCAAAAGCAGCTCTGAAATTATTAAGTATTTATGACTTGATATTGTGAGATATTAAACACCTTTAGTTCTCTTCGCTGTGAACCAGCCTACGTACTTCCCCAAGAGGGTACTAAATCTCATGACTATTTTTAAGTGGGTTTATGGACCAGCTACAACTTCATTTGTTGAAGGGATGTAGTAGCAGATATTGTCATTTCTAACCTGGGATAAAGTAACAAACCCTATGAACATTTCTGGTCTATTTTAACACAGAGCAAACACATTAGCTCAGAACACAGCCCAAAGCCTTAGACAGCTATTTTGTTAAGCTATTTTGTTTCATTCTGCCCCAAAACAATCAAGCTTTCTCACACCATGGTTTATCCTTTACTTCTATTGAAAGAACACAAAGAGGAAAATAAAGCTATGACAGAAACAGCTTATGGACTTCACTGTCCTTCCCAAACCCAAGGTTCTGAAAAGGAAAGTGCCAACACAGACCCAGGGCTTCAGCTCCCACCACCCGCTGGGGTTCTCTAAGGAACCATGGTGGCAACTGAAGTTCAAACCAACACACAATAATCCAAATAAACTTTAAAAACATGTTTACCGAATGATACTGAGTAAACTATAACAAAACTGTTAAGGGGTCTGCAGGGTTTTAACCTAAATGCACCTTTATCTATTTCACTGGCACCTACCAAAGCAACATGCATTATTACAGATCCTGTCACCGGATTTTTGAAGCAAAGGAGGAAAAAAAGGGATCAATAATGGACAAAAGCCCCAGATTTAAAGAACGCAGCTACGAGGCTCTCTGTGCAATGTTGAAGTCTCGCTGCTTGGTGTCACGGGTGCAACCGTGAGCAGAGCGTGGCCTCCAAAGGCTGCTTTGGTGATGGTAACTCACCTGCAAGAAAGGGAAGAGCACAATTTGCCAGGCACACAGGTCACCTCTCTTGCTCGGTAATTTTATTGGTAATATTATTTTGAAAAAGAAAAAGCACTTTGACAAATAGTCACTTGTACCTTCACATCATAAAAGCAGCTCTGTGGTCCAAGTCCAGCTGCCTGTTCCATATCTTTTTTCAGATATTTATAAGCTGTCACAAAATGTTTTTGGAAGCTTAACTTTCTCAATTCTCAGATTTATTGAGAAGAATATACAGAGATACTCTTAAAGGAAAAGAGGCTTTTGAGTCTTTTTAGAGCTATCAAAATAGTCCAAAAAAAAAAGATTTATTTTTACGCACTGATAACTAAAAAAAGACCTTAAATGCCAAGCTTTTTTACAGATTTACTCCTGAAAAAGGCCCTGTTTTGAGAAAACACAGTGGATTCAAAAAAGCCCATCTATAGGTTTGAGCAGTTTGCTATCTTCATGCGAGCAGCTTGGCATGGGCACATCTGTAGGGAGCTACAGATTCTGGAAGAAATAATAATAATAAAAAAAAGTTACCTTGCATTTGCTAAGCTGGATTAGTACGAGAGAGATTTACCAAAATAAATAAATAAACAAATAAAAGGCCATGGATACAATACAGCTCTGTATTTCTCTCCACATCCTTCTGTGAAGCAGAAAACTTTGCCCCTGGTTATCAGCTCAGTGGGAGCAGCAGAGTTATTGGCCAAGAGGAGGTTTTGCTATAAAGGGCACAAACTGGCAGCAATTTAAGTATGAGGACAGATCTGAGATGAGAAGGAAACAGGTGGAAAGTGAGCCTGGCCTAAGTTCACAGCAGGTAAGAGGCAGAAATAGAAACCAAGTCTCACTTTCCAACCAGGATCTTCATTCACGAGCTCAAACTGCTTCAGAGTTGGGTGCCTGAGCAAAAATGTACGTCCCCTTTTAGGGGGCAAGACAAAATACTTTCTGTTACTGGGCTTCAGCCACAGGGCAGCAAAAGCCAAGCTCGGGTTGATGCTGTTTTAATGCACCTCTATCTCATAGGCAAAGTCACAAAGGGGCAGGCTCCCAGTGAGGCCCCAGAGCAAAAGAGCAAGTCCTTCCAACACGGAGTCCTACCAAGAACACAGCGGAAATGCTGCGTTTGGCCAAACCAGAGCTCTAAAATGACATTACTGTGTCAGAAAATGCCTGTAATAAAGCTTTAGAAAAGAATACTAAAAAGCAAGGTTAAGAATTGGAATTTTTTGTCCATTTTCAGGCAATCCCTTTGCTTCAGCCACATCCCTATTCTGTTCCACACAGTTTGTGACTTTCAAAAAAACGTTATGCAAATAACAAATGGTTTATTTTGGCTTTTCTAATACTTCAGCTTTGACATAGCTAAAAAAAGACACATAATGTGGCAAGAAGCTTTTTTAGCCCCTTGTAGAGGACAACCAAGTATGAAAAATACTCAGCTACTAAAACCTTGTTGCTGCAGGATAGATTTGAAAAGTGCTAAAACTTTCCCATTCAAAGCATAATTAGCTCATTTGCAAGAAATTTGAGAACAGACACAAAATGTAGGTCCTGTTTACACTGAGTTTTCAGGTGCTCTTGTAGCAGTAACACCTTCACAGCACAAATCACGACACAACCCAAGCTACATTCGCCCAGCTTATTTGGGGTGTAAGAGCCAGCACAGACCGGATACTCGGGCTAAATCTCTTCTGTATTCAGACTTTGCAGAGTAGAAAACTCAGCATTTTCAGAATTTCTTGCAATATTCCTTACAGCTATGGACAGGAATTCACTCTCGCCCACTTTTCTACTTCCAAAAAAGTTTGGAAGCTAAAGTAGCAACTGGAACTACTCACTACAGAGCGAGTACAATCCAGAAGCGAGATAAAATAGCAGCGATTCCTCTCTGTAACTTTTGCTTCAGCTCTTTGATCTTTGCTAATTTCAAAGTTTAGTGACTTGAAGGCTTGAAGTTACAAGAATATTCAGTTTCTGATTCCATTCCTTTATTATTTGTGGGTCTTTCCTATCAGGTCATACATATTCTCAAACACACAATAACCTTTATCCAAAATAACTCCCTCTTTCCCCCTAAATCTGCCTATAGAGTTCACCTTGAAAGATATGACAAATCACGACACAACCCAAGCTACATTCACCCAGCTTATTTGGGGTGTAAGAGCCAGCACAGACCGGATACTCGGGCTAAAATCTCTTCTGTATTCAGACTTTGCAGAGCAGAAAACTCAGCATTTTCAGAATTTCTTGCAAGATTCCTTACAGTTATGGACAGGAATTCAATTAAAGCACCTCTCTCTCGCCCACTTTCACTCTTTTACTTCCAAAAAAGTTTGGAAGCTAAAGTAGCAACTGAAACTACTCACTACAGAGTGAGTACAATCCAGAAGCGAGGTAAAATAGCAGCAATTCCTCTCTATAACTTTTGTGTTAGCTCTTTGATCTTTGCTAATTTCAAAGTTTAGTGACTTGAAGGCTTGAAGTTACAAGAATATTCAGTTTCTGATCCCATTCCTTTATTATTTGTGGGTCTTTCCTATCAGGTCATACATATTCTCAAACACACAATAACCTTTATCCAAAATAACTCCCTCTTTCCCCCTAAATCTGCCTATAGAGTTCACCTTAAAAGATATGAATTGCACTATTAGAAAGCTGTTATTATTGACTATAAAATTTTCATGCTACTGAGGATTACTCAAGGCATCTTACTCCTACTCTCATAGGAGACTATATGCTCAGAGAAGGATTTCTATGCAGCCAACCTCCAGCCTCTTATCCTTCCTTTGCTGAACAAATTCCAGTTAAATCACAGAAAGTTCAAGCTGTGAACACAGCCCAGGGAGTTTAGGACTTCAGCAAATTAACCAATAATGTAAAGCCCAGATACAACTACTCTGCTACCACATCAAACAGAAATAACAGGCAAAACGACAACCAGGAAAGCCTACTTTTTTTTTTTTTTCCAAAACATATCTCTCTGGTTAGCAAAAATCCCTGCTCATAGCAGCACGCATCCCCAACTACAGGGAGTCGCAGGAGAGACAGAAGCATTTTGAAAGGAAAGCTGTCGCCCAAGTCCACTAAGCTTAAATCATTTAAAGCACCTTGGAGAAATATGCAACCCTTGAGGAAAAGGGCACATTCCTCTCAACACACACCAGCTATTTCTTATTAGAAAACTTGAGTGCCCTCCCGACATACCTGCCATTAATAAACACAGGTAAAGGCTTGGACGATTTCACAGCATTTCCTAATATCTAACCTGAATCTTACCTGTTGCAACCTGAGGCTTTTTCCTCTTGTCCTGTCCATAGTTATTTTGGAGAATGATGGACCCACCCCACCATAATCTCCTGTCAGGTAGTTGTAGAGACTGACAAGGTCTCCCCTGAGCCTCCTCTTCTCCACACTAAATAACCCCAGCTCCCTCCTCCCCACAACACTGACTGCATAAAACTAAATGAGAAATTCTTCAGTTTGGATTGTTATTTTCATAGCAGTGTTTTGGCGAGGTTATTCAACCAATTCACTTGAAACATTTCACGTAGGCACTTCCAAAGCCTTTTTCCTAGAGCTTTCCTAGCAAACCTGGCACAGGAGAGCCCTAGCCCTGACTCTCTGACCCCTGTTAAGGTGCCTATAGAGAGCCTCACTCTCCAGAAGTGCAGTATAGCCCTGTGTATGTCCTTCCTGTCTCGGTCCCTATGCAAACACTGCTCTGACCTGACCTTTGAGCAGGCACTTACCATCCCCTCACATCCTCAGGACCATTGCACAACCTCCTGAGCTTCCTGCCTGTGAGTAAATCCCACCCTGCTGGTTGTTTTTCACCCTGCCCCAATAAAACCAGAACTTTTGCAACAGCAACCGTGAGAAACACGTGATTTGGAATCACCGCTGAACAAAAGCGGATGTTAATTATCTGTGACTCAAATGCTGCACACACAAAGGCCCAATTTAAGGCTGCAGCAGTTGCTGGGCACTCTGCAAAGGGCACTAAGCAGGATGAGCTTTTTGGGGTGCGTGAACATTTGGTTTAGCAGAGCTTTCCCAAAAGACTTTAGTGTTGCAAAGTAAGATTTCTTGAATCATTTAGTCTCTTCCTCTTCCCCCTCCATCCTAAAGGCATCTTCGACGCTCCTGTGTCCTCTCAGAACCTCTTGCTCGTGTTTTTAACGGGAACAAGGTGGGTTTTTCACGCTCGAAGCTGCCCCTGGGCCCAGCAGGGCTGGGAATAACCCGACGTGGCCCTGCCCGCCCCCACCGCCAGGCCCAGCTGCCC